GTACTTGAGTGGAGGCCCAATGTCCATCTGCTACCTTAATACTAAACCTATAAATATATGCATATAGATCTATTTTCCCATCTTCATATATAAATACATTTACATATGCACATGCCTGTATTTAGACCTCTATAAATGCCCTTTGCCTCATAGTTCTTTCCTCTACTTCCTTTTACTTTCCTCTTGCCCCACTATCATGCTCAGCCTTTATTTGGGTTTCAGTAATTCCTTGGTTACATTACTCTTCATCAAGCCCTACCAGGTCTCTTACACCCTCCTCACCACCGATATTGGACCACTTGTGGTTCGCTTGTCCCTGGGTTTGTTAACACCACTTTCTTTCAATAATTTATTTAGTATAATTAAATAAATGAGGTTTCAGATGGGTCATGGAAAATGAAATGAAAAAGATAATGGAATTTTGTCATGAGCTTTTGAAGTTTGTGTTACTTAAGACAAAATTCTGAAATTTTTTCTTTCAGATCCTGTTGTAGAAATTGTTTTTTTTAATAAAACTTTTTTTGCATAATCAAATCTTATACAGTTCTCAATATTTCAGCTATATTGAGAAGAGTTGTACAGTCATTACCACAGTACATTTTTGAATGTTTCTTCATTCTTGTACTCCTCATCGGCTCCCCATTTCGCTCCCCCTTTCCTGCTGTCCCACCAAGGAATCAATCCAGTTACTATCTGCAGACCCCTTATCTTGGGTTCATATACCACAGTAACATACAGAAAGTAATACAGACCCAAAAAGGTAACAACAACCCAATAAAGTAGCAGAAACCCCCAGCTGAAGACAAAGGAAAATATTAAAAACTAGAACAACTTTAAAGTGGGTCAAAAGGTTTATCAAATGCCAAGGTGTTACATTTCTAATGCATTTTGTATGACGGCGGCAAGGTGATTCACCTGAGACTTCATCCACATGTATTTCCCTGTCACTTTTTTTTCTTTTTAAATTGATACAACATTTAAATGGGTCAAAATGGGGATCAAATCATTTTAGCCTGGCTATATCTACAATAATCGTCTTTACAATAGTCACTGTCTGACCACAAGGCTGTTCATATCCCTGGGCTACTTCAGAGGGAAATCTGTGTGCATAATGATAATGATTGATTTTGGTCTTCGACGGTCATCCATACCTTCTTCAAACCATGTGTTCACAATTTAAGCTCTGGTACGATTCCCTCCTTCAGATTTGGATTATATTTTTTGCAATCCTTGGATCACGCAGGCTGGTGTACTACTTCTTCCCTGTGGGCTTAGTCGGCATCTTATGTAGATGGCCGTTTGTGCGAAGCAAGTGTTAAGACCCCAGCTGATAGTTTCTTCACACTTTGCTGTAGCACTCATTTTGATGTGAAATTGAAATAAGGTAGAAATATTTATTAGCAAGAATAAAAATGTCACCCCACACCCCCAGAAAAGAGTAAAAGTGTCTCTTTGCAGATTGTGTCGTTTTGTCTTTTAAGTAAGTGGGAAAATGTAATGAGAGATAGATTAATAGTGAGTGGTAAAAGCATACAATATCATGGTGTAGAATTTTAGGATGTAATTGAACTTGAGTTGTAACTGAAAATAATATTACAAAGGTTTCTGAATGACAAAGCCTAAATAAGTTATTTTTTTGAATGACAAAACCATTTTGAAGGTTAACCAGCAGCATTTGCTGAGTATATCAGCATAATAATATTAAAACGTCTAATAAAGATATTACATTTTATTCTTTTTTTCATTTTTATTATTATTTTTTAATCATTTTATTGGGGACTCATACAACTCCTCACAATCGATACATACATCCATTGTGTCAAGCACATTTGTACATTTGTTGACATCATCATTCTCAAAACATTTGCTTTCTACTTGAGTCCTTGGTATCAGCTCATTTTTTTCCTTCCTCCCCACCCTTCCTTCCTCACAAACCCTTGATAATTTATAAATTATTATTATTTTGTCATGCCTTACACTGTCTGATGTCTCCTTTCACCCACTTTTCTGTTGTCCAGGGAGGGGGTTATATGTAGATCCTTGTGATTGGTTTGCCCTTTCTACCCCACCTTCCCTCCACCCTCCTGGTATTGACATTCTCACCACTGGTCCTGAGGGGTTCTTCTGCCCTGGCTTCCCTGTGTTTCCAGTTCCTATCTCTACCAGTGTACATCTTTTGGTCTAACCAGATCTGTAAGGTAGAATTGGGATCAATATAGTGGGAGGGGAGGAAGCATTTAAGAACTAGAGGAAAGTTGTATGTTTCATCTTTGCTACATTGTACCCTGACTGGCTCTTCTCCTCTGACCCTTCTGTTAGGGGATGTCCAGTTGCCTACAGATGAGCTTTGGTTCCCCACTCTGCATTCCCACTCATTCACAATGATTTCATTTTTTTGTTCTTTGATGCCTTATACCTGGCCCCTTCGACACTTTGTGATCACGCAGGCTTGTGTGCTTCTTCCACGCGGAGTCTGCTGCTTCTGGAATGGTCGCTTGTTTATCTTCTAGCCTTTTAAGATCCCACACACTTTATCTTTTGATAGTCGGGCACCATCAGCATTCTTCATTACATTTGCTTATGCACCCATTTGTCTTCAGCCATTGTGTAGGGAAGGTGAGCATCATGGAATGCCAGTTTAATAGAACAGAGTGTTCTTGCATCGAGGGGGTACTTGCATTGAGGAGGCCCAATGTCCATCTGCTACCTTAATACGAAACCTATAAATATATGCACATAGATTTATTTCCCCGTCATCATATATAAATATATTTACTTTTGTAAATGCCTGTATGTAGACCTCTGTAAATGTTCTTTGCTTCCTAGTTCTTTCCTCTATTTCCTTTTACTTTCCTCTTGTCCCACTATCATGCTCAGCCATCATTTGGGTTTCTGTAATTCCTCTTGGTTACATTGCCCTTGATCAGGTACTACCAGGCCTCTTGCAGCCTTCTGGCCACTGATTTTGGATCAGTTGTTGTTCTCTTGTACCTGGGTTTGTTAACACCACTTCCTTAGATTGTAACCAGTAAGAATTTACATTGCTGTTATAGAAAGGTTTGCAAAAATACTGTAAACAATTTTTAAAATTTATTAAATGGTGATAGCTCTAACAGTTAACTATCTAAATTGAAAAGTTATAATAATTTTGACACAAGTGAGTGAATCAATACTGGAACAGAAAACTTAGTTTAAAAACAGATCTATGGGGTGGGGTGGGTGGGTATGGGAAATAGACCCTTGGTGTTAAAATAAGTACAGAAAAGATCAAAGTGTCCTCGCAAAAGAATGACATGTAAGTCATAGAGTCTTCCATTTTTTGTAGATGTCAATGATTGGTGTATATTTTGCTATGTGTGTTAGCAAAATAAAAGTAACAGTAAAATAGAATAAGCTAATTATAAAAATAGACCTATGTTTGTGTTTTTAATCGTATTTATTATGTGAACTTTACATTGCAGATTATTGGAGCAGGACTGAACTAGCTCATGAATACTTTGATAACATTTTGTTCTCTATATATCAGATAAAATAATTTGAAACGTGAAGTGGATTAAAGTACTAAAGATAAAAAACAAGACCTAAAGTTAAACTTTGAAACATTATCACACTACAGATAAGTGTTAGGCTGGGACAAAAATTTAACAGTGATTAGGATCTTGAGTATATATAAAACCAAACCCCTTAGACAAAAGTACAAATTTATCTCATGTTTTACTAATTAATTGAATTAGCATAGCCAATAAACACGAAAACAAACTAAAGTTAACTAAGGAAATGGAAATTATTAAAATATGTTAACACGCTTTTTAGTTTTGGAATGAAAAAAATACTTTCATGCATGCTCGAAGATAAATGGAAAAGAATACTGTTTGCTGAATAGTGAAAAGTTGAAAAGCAAGTCAAATTTTCTGTAACACAGTGGTTATGTTATACGGTGTGCTCAGACCTCCTGAGAGTGAAAGGGCGTGTTCTAACTAGCGGAAGTCCTTGGTGGGAAGTCACAGAGGCACGTCGAGATGCGTGCAGCACGGAGGGCAACTAGGAGATTTTTAGCCTCTCAGTTGATGTCTTGAAGACTTTTGCTGTCTGAAAGGTATTGATCGGTTCTCCCTCAGTTTTCACATCTTACTTACAAAGAGGTGGAAATCTAGAAATGCTTTTAAAACCTTTTAAAAAGTTTTTTGTGGAAGGCCTTTTTTTATATTGCTGCTGGTGTAACTATAAAATTTTATCTGTTAAGTGGCTGTGTTTTGAAACATGCCATGGTCGTTATGTGTAGGCTTATAGTGCACAGCTTAGGTGTTACTATAAGATTAGTTTTTTAGAAATCATAATCTGTGGTTCTTTTTTTTCCCACTTCCAGTAAACCCAAAGAAAGATAGTGAAAATACACCTGTGAAAGGAGGAACGGTTGCAGATCTAGGTAAAACCACGACAATTTTATCTCTGTATCGTTTTTTTTTGTATGCTGTCTTCACCGTTTCCCGCCCTGTGCTGCTTCTCTGACGTCAGTCATACTGCTTTCCGGGGCTCTGATGAGTAGAACAGAGTATCGAGATCGACTGCCTTAGTACCTTCGTTGTTTGGTTGCCTGTCCTCTTGGAAAGGTCATTTCTTAGGATACATTGTGTTTACCTTGAGTGGTTTCCTGGAAGGTAGCATAGAGGGTAACCTGGAAGCAGAGCCTGGGAGCTTTCAACCAGTGGTTTTGAGTAAAGCCCCCTTTTGCAGTCTCTTGGCGAAGAACCTGTTTCAAAACATTTGTAGAAACCACTTTTTACATCTTCCAAACAAAAGTCTGTTTCCTTGTAAGGAAATTTCTGAAGTGCTGTAAGCAATATAAAATAGGTTCCACACCATTTTTCTATAGCTTGTTTGTTTTTTTCCCAAGGAAGGAAGGAGTAAATTCTCAAAATGTGGGTCTGAGAGTGTACAAAACGAAGTACAGTCATTCATTTGCGTTAAGAGCATGGAGAGCTTTAGACACTCCCCCCTGAGCGTTCAAGGTGGAATCATAATATGGCACACTGTTTTCTAGTCATCAGAATCAGTCTCCAAATAAAATAAATGTTTTTTAAATTAATAAATTAATTTTTTAAAGTGTTCTATTTCAAAGAATTTTTACACCTGGACAAAGCATTTGATACCTCCTTTTGTGGACTATGAGACCTTGGTTCTTTTTTTTTTATTATTTAATTTTATATTTTTGATCATTTTATTGAGGGCTCTTACAATTCTTACTACAATCCATACATCGATTGTATCAGGCATATTTGTACATATGTTGCCATCATTCTTTTCTAGACAATTACTTTTAAAAAATCATTTTATTAGGGGCTCATACAACTCTTATCACAATACTTTGGTGGTTCTATCTCCTCTGTTGTATGAGTTATTTATTTTTAATAAGTTGCAATGATTCTTCCTGACAGGTATGATGGTTTTCTACTCTGATTCACTAAAATTAAAGGGGGCTTCCAAAATACTCTGGGGATACTATATTTTACTTTTGTCACCTGTTAGGACCTAATTTCCCAAAATGACTTGGTTTTTAAGTTGTATAGAATTTTTTCAATATCTGATGTAACTTTGCCCATTTATCTTCTGTTCTGTCCCTTGCCACTCTAATGGGAATATCATCTCCATAAGGAGGACATCTTCCTTGGGTATGTGATTTCGAACTGCCCACCTTGTGGATCACAGCCCAACACCATCAGGACTCCTGTGTTTTTTAATTAGGTTCTAAGAAATGTGTGTTAAACGAAAGAGAACATGGATGGCTTTCCTATGTTTATGAACTTTTTAGTGCCCCTTTACTGCCAAGGATGGTAAAAATTAAAAAAAATATATTTACAGGCGCTTAATATGTAATTATATATTCAGTAACTTCTTTTCCCATTTATGTTTCACTTTTCATGTTGGAAATATCGTGGGTTTTTTTTTTTAATTACGGTTGGTTTTGTATCTTTGGTGAGTGGTGGGGGGCACGGTCAACCTTTAGTCTGGATCCCCACCTTCAGCTTACATTAGGACTCTTGCCGGGAGTTTGTCTCTAAGGATTGATTATTGACTCTTTCATTACTCTGCACTCTGTACTGACTTGTCCTGGTATCAGAAGTGTCATTACTTTCTTTGCCCAAGTCTCAGGGGACATGAGTCCTAAACAGGTCTCTTCCATCTTATGAAGGAAGATGATGAGTCCTGTGTCAGCCCAAACAGTAAATGGTGACCTACCTTCCTTGCTCAAAATCTGTAATTGGGCTTTGGGTTGCTACTTCCTTGTCAAATCCTAATTGAGTGAAATATTAGGGTGATTTTTCTTTAATAATGTTCTATTTAAATTCATTTTTCTTCTCTCTGATTAACAAGTTCCATGTTACCCAGATAACATTTACCTGCCTTTAAATAAATTTTTCCGTTTGATTTTTGCAGATGAGCAGGATGAAGAAACAATCACAACAGGAGGAAAGGTAGGGAATTCCTTCGCCCCGGTGTAGCAGTAACCCTTATGGATCCTGTGTTCTAAATTGGTGTAAACATTGGACTAGCCTTTATTTTCAGAAACACCCCCCCCCCCTTCACTTTTCCACAATTGTTGTCTTCCTTGGCTCACCAAGTTTTATTGAGATGAAATCCGTCCTCTTCACAGGTATTGTTCATCATAAGGTATAATTGGGGTTTCGTGCCTCTCTTAGCTCCATAATAGTGATTAGAACTGCTCAGTCTTCCAATAGTACAGCAGAACCGGCGCTGTGCCTTGCCTTGGCATTCTGACTCTTAATTCTGCTGGTACAAGCAAAGTTCATAGATAGCTCACAGAGCCTTCACATTAGACTTTTCCCTTTCTTAAGTCTTTAAGCCAGTCACGTCCTGTTTTGCTATTCTGCTTTATGGACACATCAACCATTATGCTCTTGATGCATGTTGGATTTAAGACAGGATTTTATTTCTACTTTTAATAAATTCCCATTTTATTATTCAGGCTGTCATCTTTGATGGTTGCTAAATATAGCTAATCCCTAAAGTGATCTTAAGATAACTTCTTTATATGGTGAAAATTGTTAGTTCTTTTTCCCCCCATTGAGTCATGGAAATTCAATAGATTGACCCTTGCTGCTGTTTTTCATACATTAAAGTAATGAATGTATTCATGACAGGATTTTCAATACAACTATTTCCGTAAACTCACTAACTTGGCTTTTTAACTGAATTCTTGTTAGGATCTTTGGAAGACATGCTTTCATCAAAGAGTGTGCCCTGCCCATGCTTGATGGGTTAATGCTCCCTGCCTGAGGACCCCGGGTGCCTGAATTTGAATGTATGAGAAAAAAATGAGAGTAGATAAAAGATTTAATACTACTCAGGATTCCGGGCATCCACTCGGGTACTTGGAACATATCTTCTTCAGCTAAGAGGAGAGTCTTGACTTCTTCCTGTATTGTTCTTCAGTAATGCAATGTCAATCTCTTCCTGCTTTTCCTGAATAAAGGAAAATATTTCTGCGAGTTGAATTTGTGAAAGTTTTTCATCAGAAATCTATTGACCTAGCCATACAAGAATTCATTTAACTTGGAACATATATTTTCCCCCCCTTTGGCTGATAATTTTAAACCGTTTTATTGTCACTTAATCCACATATCACTCAATTCAATAGTTCAGTTATTTCAAGAAGAATTGTACAAACAGTACTACAATCAATTTCAGAACATTTTCCTGTTTTTAACCCCATCATTGAATCACCTTTAATATGAGTTTTGTAATTACCTTCAGTTCTAGTGCTCACTCCCCCTCCTATCTTCATTGTTTATTCCTGAAATTCCTGGAACATATTTTGAATAGCTTCTCTGATTTGGGAAGTGAAACTTTTTTGATATAAGTATTGCTGTATTTGTTTTAACATTTTAGTAACAATTGGAGGTTCCTTGGTGTTTTCATTGATTAAATTTTTCAATTAATTCATTGGCCTTAAGACATCTGCTACTGTCTTAAGTTTCTTGGCAATAACACTGTATATCCTTACCTCAAATAATATGCCCCAGGATATTCAATTTTAATTAAGCGAAAGATAAAAATTAAACTGTGGCATAATCTAACAAGTACATAAAATTTTCCTTCATAGAAAAGACTTTTTATACCTTAATAACTGTTCATGTTAAGGTTGAGATATTGATAAGCATCTTGTTAATGAATTTATTTTCTATAATGGTCTATTCTTGGTAGAAATATTTACCCTGAAGTTAATTATAAAGTCTTAGACCAGATTGATTATTGACTATTTTTATAGTCTGGATTATTAAAAAATTATGTTATAAAACAGTTTCCCACTTCCACATCCACGCTCCCCCCACCCCCCAAAAAATCAAAGATTAGAGGAAACTAAAGAAGCTTCTATAACATATGTAACATGCATGCAGTCCCTGATCATGTCCTGTATTTGGGAGAAAACCTGCTAAAATATATTTCTGGTATCTTGGATACATTTATGAAACCTCCAGACAGCTCATAAAAGTAGAGGTATCGTGAGATATCTCTCTCATTCTCTGTCTTTGGATCTTTTCTCCAGGAAGATGAAGATCCGAGTAAAGGGGATCAGAGTCGATCAGTTGACCCTGGTGAAGATAACGTTACGGAGCAGACGAATCACATTATCATCCCCAGCTATGCATCGTGGTTTGATTATAACTGGTGAGTGGGCCGTTTGCACGCGTGAGCATTGTGCTTAGGGGTCAAGGGCATTTGTTGGTAGCATCTTTTGCCTTTCCGTCCAACCCCATTTCCTGTGATCACCGAATAAAGGGTGTTGCTGAGTTATTTTTATGCCTACGTGTGTTTTTTAAGATGGTCTAGACTAGGAAATTAGATTGTGTAGTATCTACTAGACACTCCACAAACCCACTGCCGTCGAGTCGAGTTTATTTCTTAGTGAGCTTATATTGGGTCCTCAAGACTATAAATCTTTCATAGTCGCAAACGACCTTATCCTTCCCCTGAGAATTGGCTGATGAGTTTGAAGTAGCAACTGTGCAATTAAGGAGCCTATTGCTTATCCCACAGCACCATGAGGGTCCTATATTTTATATGTTTGAAGCTAACTCAGTTTTTATCACTTGTATTTCAGACAGTATATGAATATTCTCAAAATTGATATTCACGATCTGATTTTAAACATTAACAAATAGAGAAAAAGTAGAGCTCAGTTACCTATAAGCAGCCACATTTAAGTAGGAAATATTTTAGCATAGAATTCTTTATAGATGTAAACCCTCCTTTGTGAAAGAATTCAAGAAAGAAGGTCTCTGCTTCCCTCTGCTAGGCGGAGGGAGGGATCTTCTGTACATACTTGTAGATAACTGGAGGCTTAGCCGTCTTCTGCTTCAACTGTTGATGAGCTATGACCGTTTCTTAATAGGTGTGTTTTTCAGGTTTAAATATATGTACAGACCTTATCCCTTCAAGTAACGCTTTTCTTCACTAAAGTCATTTTAGCGAAAGCTTTTATACATAAGTGATGTTGCCATTACTTAAAATTTTGATGTTCTTCTTGGATCTTTGATCAGCTCTCAAAGATAATGCATTGTTCTTTTTCTTTGTCAACCCCCTCCCCTATTTTATTGGTAGCCCTTAAAGATAGAACAATCCCTAGTTGAGTTAGAAGGGAGCATGATTGTGTAATTGCTGCGACCATCATTTTCAAAACATTTTCTTTTTTCCTGTACTCTTTGATATCAGCTCCCTTTTATCCCCACCCTCCCCCCAGGAACCCTTGTTGTGATATTAAATATTATTACTAATATTGTTGTATTATCATTCTTTAAAGATAGGTTTGATTTGAAAAAATATATCTAGAATATAATCTAAAATAAAAATATATAATGAGCTGTACTTTATGGCCAGCAACAACTTAAAACATTATTGGGTTTTTTGTTGTTGGGTTTTATTGTTTGTTTGTGTTTTTGTTTTTTCATAAATGTTAAGATTTATCAGCATGAGAAAAAACACTACTGGAAATTGGGAACACAGCTGAAGTAGAAAGAGTTTCTATAGTTGTAATGAAAAGCTATTGATCCACAGGAATTTGCGCAAGCCGATTAGCTTTGATTTATCCATCTTACTTTGAATTCTTGAAAATGGAATTATTTTTCTTCCAGTATTCACGTTATTGAACGGCGAGCTCTTCCAGAGTTTTTCAATGGGAAAAACAAATCTAAGACCCCAGAAATGTGAGTGTATATATGCGGTTGTAACGATAATACCATTATCTGCGTTAGTGACCCCACTGTTTAGGGAAAAGTGTGTGTGTGTATTGTGTGTTTTAGAGGCTCTTAAAATGTCATTTTGCGTTAAAGTTTACTTGTTTTGGAAATGTGTATATATCTTAGCAGAATTAATACCTTAGCAACATAATCTCCCTTGCTTCAAAGGAACTTTTTTTGTTGCTTCTTCCTAAACCTTGAACTGCATGCATGTTAGTGAACATAGTGAAAATTGAATTCAGGAGCAGTTATTCCCTAAATTGGGGCTATTGGATTTTCTTAAATTTATCCAGTTTTTGCACATGTATGTGTTAGCAATTGTATGTATGTATGCATAAAAATATAGGAGAAAATGGAATATTTATCTTCCTGATCAATTGTTTGATGTGAAGTTACAGGTACATATAAATTGATCCTTATTGTAGACTGCATTGTTAGGCTTATATTGAAAGTAGAAAAAATATTTATTTGGAAAGATAAGGTTTGCTAGGAAGTACTTTTGCCAAGGCTTTTATCTTTAATAACCCAAGAAACTATTGCCCCTAAAATAAATCCACACTATAAATATTCTTATAAGTCATCACCTTGTTGCCTGTTACTGACCTGTGACTGCAGGTATAGATATCACTTGACTGCAGGTATAGATATCACTTGTTTAAAATGTTAGGCAAGGACGAACTTATGTACTTGTCCACATAAAACAGGCACTCAAATAATAAATATATTCTAGTGATAGTTTTTATCCTACAGTTTGAGGTTTTAAGTTTAAATGTTATTACCTGAGCGGCGTATGGAAGAGTTGGGTGGCGCAGGTGGGAGGCAGCGGGTGGAGTAGGGTTGGGGAGCTTCCCGATCCCTGGCCCAACCCCTGCATGAGCCTTTGATATTTTCCTTATATGATCAGGCCCGTTGTGGGTGGCGCCGCTTGCCCGGAGCCTGAGAGGATTATGAGACGCATTAGGCCAGGGGATCGGGCGCGGGGCAGGTGAGGTGAGGGGCAGCCAGTTAGGCTAGAGGGGAGGTTTAGGGGTGCCTCTGCCAGTGTTACTGGAGCCCTGGTCAGTGATGACATGACCACTGTGCATTCTGAGTTTTGAAAACCAGATGATGGAGTTTGAACTAAGCACGGACTGAGACCAAAAAAAAGTTTAAATGTCAAAGGTAAATTCTGCTTTGGTTATAGCCCGATTGCCACCCCCCCCTGCTGCTCTGCTGTTTGGACACAGATGTGTTCTTATCACGAATTGACCTGTTGGAAATACTTATTATATGTCACAGTTTTCTGTTTAAGAGCACAGCACTTTAGGTTCCTTTTATTTGTAAACACACCTTTCCATCTTCCTTGTTAATTTATCTGCTTTTACATAGCCCCTTTTGAACATTGTACTGTTTTTCTTCTAAGGTAGCTCAATTTACACTGCCAAGTTAATGTTTTACTTGAGTACCAAGAACTGTCCCTAGGTCTCAAGTTCTGTAACATTATTTTTTTAACTTCTGTCCTAAATAATTATTTAAAATTTTTTTTTAGTTTTCAATTTCGTATCTGTGTCATAAAGCATGTATTCTTTTCTATCTGGCTGCTTTAGCTCAATATCTTTGAGATGCTTTCTTATTTTTACAAATATTTGTAAGTCATTTTCTAAAAGTGGGCAGTACTATAGCATATGAATATTTCACTGCTTATGAATCCATGCTTATTAATGGGCATTTGAGTTTCCACTTTTTTCTATTATGAGTAAAGATGCAGTCAGCATTCTTACACATATCTTCACGTGGACTGTGCTTTCATTTTCTTGGGTCCACACCTAAGGGTGGAATTGCCGGATCACAGACAGGAGAATGTTGCCAGGCAATTTTCCTTACATGCTTGAATCAGTTTATATTCCCAACAATACGTGAGCATTCCCATTGCTCTTCGTCCTTATGAGTACTGGTTATTATCTTTCATTTATTACTTTTTCAAAAAGTGAATTAGATGAGGGTTCAGAAGAGAGAAAAATGAGTAGCTGATGCCAAGGACTCAAGTAGAAAGCAAATGTTTTGAGAATGATGATGCAACAAATGTACAAATGTGCTTGACACAATGGATGTGTATGGATTGTGATAAGAGTTGTATGAGCCCCTAATAAAATGATACATGAAGAAAGAGTGCCTGACACACAATAAATGTTCACTATGTGGTAGTTGGGAGTCGGCCCAAATAGCCATTTGTTAGTTGCAGATTCTTCATGGAACCAAGGATTTGCCCATTGTCTTCTGTGATCGAGTTTTAGTTATATTCTTTACATTAAACTTCATCTGATACTCTGTCTTAATTGTTTCTGCTAAGCATTACTGGACAGGTTTTTGGTGCATATTTGGGTTCTTGCCTTGAATTTCATTTATGATGATTAATGTCAATATACTATTATTTCTGTTCATTAGACTGGTGCCTTTTTGCTTGCATTTGCTTTTGAAGAACCTGAAATTTTATGCTATGATTTTTTTCCCCCTGAAAGCATGTTCACTTTTTGAATTTTGCCATTGCTTTTTAGATACCTGGCATATCGCAATTTTATGATTGATACCTATCGGCTAAATCCCCAAGAGTATTTAACTAGCACTGCTTGTCGGAGGAACTTGACTGGAGATGTGTGCGCTGTGATGAGGTAAATATCTAATGCTTTCTCAGACATGTCACAACAGGAGGCTATGATGTGTTGCCATCTAATGTTTGGTTTATTAATCATGAAAACTTTCCTTAAGGGGTTGAATATTTGCAATCCCTTAGCATGTTCTTTTTAGATTTCATAATGTGCCTCTTGTATTTATGTTCTAAAATGAACAATAAAGGCTTGCTTGAAAGAGGACTCTGTTCCTAGATTTGTCCAAAGGACAGACCCAAAATGTGGATTTCCTTCTGTGGATTTCGTTTGCTTGTGAGTTGTTTTACTAAGCATTTAATTGAGCAGTTGTCCCTCCCCCCCCCTCCCCCCGTGATTGAAATTGCTAAACTTTATTACTTGATAATGCATATTTAGAACCTTTTCTACATACAGTACACAAAAGTTAGCAGGTCTTTATCTTGGCTGCTGGGAATGGCACTAATGTGGGTATGATTATGGAGGGTGTGTGATAAATTCAATAGATTTTAACCTGAGGCCTTGGTTCTTTAGGGTTCATGCCTTTTTAGAGCAGTGGGGGCTCGTTAATTACCAAGTGGACCCTGAAAGTCGCCCTATGGCCATGGGACCTCCTCCTACTCCTCATTTCAATGTCTTGGCCGACACGCCTTCTGGGCTTGTACCTCTTCACCTTCGATCACCTCAGGTAAAATATTGCTTCATTTCTTCTGGCCTGGAGGGGAGCAACCATTTATAGCTTGCTTTCCCGGGAATAATAAGTCTTGTAATGCACTGAACGGTGCTGTTTCTTAGCTCATCCATTCTTTTCCCTCCCTTCCATGGTAAATTTTAAATCTGTAAGAATATTTTGTGCTTAAAGTAATATGCTCTGTCTACCCAAGATTCCATGCCTTAGGGTTAGTGTTAAGATTAGAGTTCAAATTATAGATCTTTCCTTCCGTCTACGTCCTAGAAATGGACATTCAAAATTTTTACACCTTAACTTGCTAAGTCCATATACACATTCCTGAAGAGTATTGTGTCAAACAGATGACTATGGCATTACATTGAAATGATAGTTCAAACTTAGGCTATAACTTGTCCTCATTGTAGTGTATGAAATTATCATAAAGAAAATTTGTTGTCTCCTCAGGAACGTGGTGAGGCACCTGCAATGTTTCTTATTGCTAAATTGTTAGAAGTATGGAATGGAGCTGGGAGTATTTGCATTTGTTGTATAAAAAAGCAGGAATGGTTTAATTGCTTATATTAAAATCTGTGAACTCTTCTCTGTCCCTTGACTAGGTGTAATGGTAACATGCCCGTTTATCATTTATGTGACTTAGGTTCCTGCTGCTCAACAGATGTTAAATTTTCCCGAGAAGAACAAGGAAAAACCAATTGATTTGCAAAACTTTGGTCTTCGCACCGACATTTACTCTAAAAAAACCTTAGCAAAGGTAAAGATTTTAACCTTGACTCAAAGGGATTGTTAGTTACTCTTTGTGTGTTTTTTCTAGTTAGTATCTATATCCCTAAGGTGGGGGGCGGGGGGGAGAAGCACTTCCTTCTCAAATCTGACATTTTCTAAAATAAAAATCACTTAGCTTACTGTTTTTTCTTCAGTGCAATTAGTAGGTATGTACATTTAAAAATATGACATATTAAAAGAGAATAGAGGAAAAATGGAAGGATTTCAACAAAGAACTAATTATGTATGAAAGGAATCAAATGAACATTATAGAATTGAAATATATACCTGAAATTAACTCACTGTGTGGTCTAATAGCAGACTGAACACGTCAGAAGACAGGATTAGGGGAATCCAAGAAAGATTAACAGATACACAAAACTAAAGCCCTTAGAGAGGAAGCAATGGAGGCCGAGGAGGGGACAAGAAGAGCAGAGTTAGAGAGACATGCAGACACATAACGAGGAGTTAATATTTGTCATTTGAGTCCCATACGGAGAGAAAGAATGCATTGGAAGCAATATTTAAAGATAAAAAGGCAAAAAAATGTTCAGCCTTCACAAAATAAGAGATTGAGCAGTTCCAAATTTGGATAAAGAGAATGCCAAAATTAGGCATATTCTTAAACTGCTAATAACAGCCAAAAGGGAGAGGGTGGGTTGGTGGGGGAGGAAGGAAACATTAAATTAAAGAGAAGAAAAAGAAAACTGGCCAACTTTTCACCCTAAATGATCAAAGCCAGAGGAATTGTAGTCCTCAAAGGAAGACTGTCACCTTGGGATTCTATGCCCCAGTGGCAATTGCCGTCCATAATCGACGGTGCAGTAGAGTTTACGTTTCTTTTTAAGTCACCTTTTAACCAAAAAAAGTGAGTAAACTTTGCATTAGCACACAGTGTAAGAACACTAAAGGATTAATAGAACTATTCTTGATGGAAGGAAAAGTCTATATCAGCAGCTCTCGACCTGTGGGTTGTCACCCGATTAATAACAGTAGCAAAATGACAGTTATGAAGTAGCAATGAAAATAATTTCATGGTTGGGGGGTTATCACAACAAGAGGAACTGTATTAAAGGGTCGTGGCATTAGGAAGGTTGAGAACCACTAGTCTATATGAAGGGATCGAATATGTAAGCAAACAAGTATGCACACACTATCATCAAAATGATGCTGACTCATAACCCTATATAGGACAGAGTAGAACTGCCCCTATGAGTTTCACAGACTGACTGTTAACAGGAGTAGAGGGCTCAAGCGGATGGTGGTTTTGAACTCCTGACTTTGTGGATCACAGCCCCACTCATAACTACTGAACCGCCAGGTCTACTCAATGAAGAGTTTTGAAGCGGCTACTGTGTGGGTAAATGTATAGGACCATTGACTGATTAAACAAAAATAATCTTGGGTGGGGGGTAGAGGGGTTTTGACATGTAGAAGTGATCAAAACAGCACAAGATGGGATGTTAAAGGGAAATAAACTGTTACGTTTTGTTTTACTGTTGCTATTTAGAAATGTTGTAAAACCATAAATTCAAAGTTAGGCAATAATAATTTGTCAACTTACAATAAGAGGACTAGAGCTATACATAAGAATAAAGAGTACCAGAAGCAGTCTACGGGTGTGAATATAAAAGCCAGTTTTTTCTATTTTCAGTCTATTAAAAGGATAATGGATTTTTCAAAGCAAAAATGACAAACAATATATTATTAGTTTTATAGCATGTAAATATTAACAAACAAGTTACTCAAAGAATAGGAGGTAGAAGTGGAAGTATAATTAAAGTTACTTAAGATGATATGCTAAAATACTTAACAATTAACTTTGATGAGTTAGATGTGAATATTGTAAATTCTGGTGCAGCTACTTATAAAAGGAGGTATAACAAGCCAGTCATACTACGTAATAGAATAGGTTTGATTTTAAAGGAGATACAAGAAGAGGGAAAAGGAGGACGGAAGAATAAACAGTGAAAAATAGGACGCGAATCACCAAATGGTAGACTTATCTCTGACCATAACGGTAACATGAAATGTGAGGATAAATCCAAAAGGATTGCTATAGAACTGTTCATATAAAAAGGAAAAGAAAACAGCACTGTGTGAAACTATTGTTTCTCGACGTGTACCCTCTTTGTGCTTAGGACGGGACCGATTCTGGTACTGTTCGCAGCTCTCCTAACCTTTATCAAATGTGGATTCAAATTGTGTACCTTACGTACTCTTTGAGTTTAGGGCCTTTCCCAATGAAATCCTCTTTGGACAACCCCTTGCTACCTTCAGAGTAGCCAAAGTTGATGGGACTGAAAGAAGAAATAGACTCACAATTACAATGGAAGATTTAATCATCTTTTCTCAGTAATCGGTAGAACAAGTAGAAAATGAGTAAGGATTTTATAAAAGAGACTGGAACAAAATTATATACTATCATGACCTCTTTGGGTTTAGTAGAAGAATCCCCGCCAAAAAAATGCAGAGAACTTTATTTTTAAGTTCACAGGGTAGTCCATTTTCAAAAAGTGAATTAATTCTGAGCAGTCATTTTTAAGTCTTAGTAAGTTTTAAAGTATCGTAATCATAAAATCATAAAAAAATTAAACTACTACCCAGTAACAAGAATACAACTAGAAAAACACCAAATATTTAAAAATTGAACTTCTGAATAATTTGGTCTTCAAAGAGCAAAACGCATTTGCGATTATAACATATTTTGAATGAGAAGAAATGGAAGCCCAGCATATTGGTAGAGCACAGCTAAATCCAGGCTTGGTGAAAATGGATACCATCAAATTATTGTATGCTCTTAATGATCTTAGCTTCCGCTTGAATACGCTAATAAAAGAAGAAACTTAAAATAAGCAGAATAAGAATAATATGCATCCACTCCATGAACAGTGAAACAATATGAAACTGAATAAAGAGATGTTCTTTGACAAGGAAACACTTGCCTTCTCTGAGCTAATTGCTGGAGGAGCTCTGGTGGCACAGCGGTGACTCGCTGAGCTGCTAGCCATAAGGTCTCTACCCTTAGATCAGTAGTTCAAATCCACAGGAGCATTTCCACTCTGTCCGATAGGGCGACTCAGTCAGAATTGACTCAGTGGCCATGAGTTTGATTTGGATTGGAGTAACAGTGACCAAGAAGTGACCCACAGATGTAAACTACTGGGAACCGAGACAAGCCTTCTCACACTTGGGGGCTAGAAGGTGAGAAGGGTGGCTGCTGACATCTAGCCTCTACAAAGATTACAGCCTGGGAATTCCTATGGGGCATTCTACTCTGTCCTGTAGGTGAGTCAGAATCAACAGGTTGCTGCTTATTGCCATACCACTAAAGAAAATTAGCCCTCTCCAAATCTTTGAATAGAACAAAGTTTGTAAAATCAAGAAGATAACTGTGATTTTACAGCACAGATTAGATTTTACTGTCATGCTCATGTGTTTGCATGAATTGTACACTACCTGAGAGACAGAAAAGTAGTGAAGAGGATCGGCACACCCCTACATGAGTTATGGGCCGTAATGGTAAGATGAAACAGAATCAGAACGTGGCTCCACTGGATTCCAACTCAGGGTGATTCTAGGTCTATCAGAGTAGAAACTGTTTCCAAGGGTTTTCACTGGTTGATTCATGGGAAGTGGATCATCAGGCCTTTGTCCTAGGGTCTAAAACGACCAGCATGTCAGCTGATAGTCGCCACCCAGAGATGTTTAAATTGTGGGGATTGTTTTAATCGAGATATTTTAAAATCACATGACATGAACCTGCAGAAGCTGAAGCAAGAACACAGTAGAGTACTTTAAATGGAGCTAATTTTGCTTTTGAATCTTGGAAAAAACATTTTACTGTTTGTAATATTATGGTTAATTCATGGTGTGCATTTGAATATGGTGCTTTTGTAGCATATACGAGATGATAGCTAATATAATGAATCGAGAAATAATATCTTCAAATATTTCATGAGTCCTTGATCTTTACAGTAATCTAGCCTTTGTTTTAGAAGTTTTAAGTTCCTTAAGTGTTTGATTTCTGTTACTCATGGGCTTAATTGTAATTTTCATAAAATGGTCTGCTGAGCTTAGAAACTAATCTGAGACTTACTTTCCCTGAGTAAATGTTTCACTTTCTATCGTAGAGTAAAGGTGCTAGTGCTGGAAGAGAATGGACTGAACAGGAAACCCTACTGCTCCTAGAGGTACGTGCATGAGTCCACATTGACCGTATCCTGAAAGTCTGAAGTTTTTATTCACTTCATAAAAATTAATAGCATTTTTAATCATTTTATTGGGGGCTCATAAAGCTCTTATCACAATCCATCCACCCATCCATCCATTGTGTCAAGCACATTTGTACAGATGTTGCCATCATCATTCTCAAAACATTTTCTTTCTACTTGAGCCCTTGATAGCAGCTCCTCATTTTTCTTCCCCTCCCCCACCTTCCCTCCCTCATGAACCCTTGATAATTTATAATTTTTTTTTCCATGTCTAACGCTAACAGATGTGATGTCTCCCTTCACATTAAAAATGTGCTGGAAAACGCAAACTTATACACGAGTATATACAGTATTCTATTGGCCCAGGATTAGATCATTTGTCAACATTTCAACAAATCGTGGAGCTTTGTAGATTGGTAACCAGCAGTGTAGATTGGTGACTTCTCATGGGCAGTTCTGGGCCCTCATTTGGTGGCCCAGAATCTCAGATTTCCCTTTGAAAGCAGGGATTGTCTTCGGATTTCTGGTTTTCTTCAATCAGTCAGTGCTCATAGGAATTTTAGTGTCCAGTCTCCATATTGCTGAAAGGATTTAAGTAGCTTGTAACACCTGCCATTGAAGGCATTATTTTGTTGGGGTTTGGGAGGAAGAAGCCTATGGTAAAACACTGATTATTTTATAGCATCTCAGTCAACTTTTACAACAGCAAACTTACTGTCATCATGTCCATTCTGTAGCTTTCCAAGGCCATAGATCTGTCTGTATGGGAGCAGAGAGCCTGCTCTCTCCAGAAGCAGCTGGTAGATTTCAACTACTGACTGCAGTTAGTGGCTCAACCAGACCCTCATCACTCCACCAGGCTCCTTTTGATCATCTAACTCAATGCATATTTATTTTTCTCATGTCTTTGGATATTCTTGCAAATTCTTGGACCGCTGGATCTCACCAGTTTATTTTTGCTTTCAATAGTAGGAAAGGAAGTGTGTTAGATTCTTATGTATTGTATCAGTGATTTCTTCCTTTTTTTTGCCAAAAGGTACCTGTATTTGATAGACTTAACAAAATTCATAGAAGTTGGTTCAAATATAACCCCCAAATTTTATCAGTTCTTACTAGACTTCTGCACTTTCCTTCCCTGCATCACCACCGTCTTTGTTTTTTAGTTTAGTGGCACATGATCCACATAGCACACAATTCAATACTGTCATTCATTCATATCAAGAAGAATTATAGTCGGTACCACACTCATGTTAGAACACGTTCCTTTCTCTTTTATTGGTTGAATCGGCTTTAAAATGAGTTGTGTAATCATAATTTGTTATGGGCCCTAGATAAGAAAGAAAGAAAGATTCACCACAACAGACTGACTATAAAGAACGGACACATTGGCAGGTTTGGCTGGGGGTTTAGTCAGAACGGCTGCGAGGCACAGGTTTCACATCTCCATTCAAAACAGGAAGAACGTTGGAAAAAGAAGCTCCGAGTAGTTTTCTTTTTGGTTTTTTTTCCTGATAAGATGTTCCATTGGGGGAAATGTTGCTGATTGAGCTTGAAACTCAGCAGTGCAAGTGCTGTAATATGTGGTCTTGTGTGTGTCCACTCTCATTTCATAATACAGAATGTTAAAAGACATGCAATTGTTGTGCTTCACTAAGGAAATACTATCATTGAAACCCCACCTGCACCCCCTTTCTTTCTGTGTGTGTGGGGTAGTGAAGAAAACCAGGAAACTTCAGCATGTTTATGAGAACATGTCATTATCTTTTAATTTATTTTAAAAATCATTTTACTGGGGCCTTGTACAACTCTCATCACAATCCATCCATCCATCCATTGTGTCAAGCACATTTGTACTTTTGTTGTCATCATCATTCTCAAAACATTCTTTCTACTTGAGCCCTTGGAATCAGCTCCTCATTTTCCCTCTCCCTCCCACTACCCTCCCTCCCTCACCATTGATAATCATTTATAAATTATTATTTTTTTTATGTTTTACACTGGCTGATGTCTCCCTTTACCCACTTTTCTGTTGTCTGTCCCCCAGGGAGGGGGTTATGTGTAGATCATTATTGGTTGGCTCTCCCTTTCTCCTCCCACCTTCCCCTTATCCCCCTAGTATGGCTACTCATAATTGGTCCCAAGGGCTTTATCTGCCCCAGGTTCCCTTTGTTTCCAATTCTTATCTGTACCAGTGTACATCCTCTGGTCTAGCTAGACTTGCAAGGTAAAATTGGGATCGTGATAGTGGGAGGAGGAAGCATTAAAGAACCAGAGGACAGTTGGATGGTTCATCAGTGCTGCACTGCACCCTGACTGGCTCGTCTCCGCCCCTCGACCCTTCTGTAAGGGGATGTCCAGTTTCCTAAAGATGGGCTTTGAGTCTCCACACTCCCCCTCATTCACAATGATAAGGTTTTTTGTTCTTTGATACCTAATACCTGATCCTATTGACACCTTGTAATCACTCAGACTGGTGTGCTTCTTCCATGTGGGCTTTGTTGCTTCTCAGGTAGATAGCTGCTTATCTTCATACCTTTTAAGATCCCAGATGCTAATATCTTTTGGTAGCCGGGCACCATCAGCTTTTTCCACCACATTTTCTTATGCACCCACTTTGTCTTCAGCCACCATGTTGGGAAGGTGAACATCATGGAATGCCAGGTTAATAGAACAAAGTGTTTTTGCATTGAGGGAGTACTTGAGTAGAGGCCCAATGTCCATCTGCTACCTTAATACTAAACCTCTAAATATATGTACATAGATCTATTTCCCCATTGTCATATATAAATATTTTTACATATGTCCATGCCTGTATTTAGAGCTCTACAAATGTTCTTTGCCTCCTGGTTCTTTCCTTTATTTCCATTTGCCCCACTATCATGTTCAGCCTTTATTTGGGTTTCAATAATTCCTCTGGGTTACATTGCCCTTGATCAAGTCCTACCAGGTCTCCCACACCCTCCTCACCATTGCTTTTAGATTACTTGTTACTACCTTGTCCCTAGGTTGGTTAACACCTACTTCCTTTCCCCCACCTCCCCCTATCCCATGTCTTCCTACCCCCGCCCCTCCCCCCAACCATCAGTGCAGTTTTTTTCTCCTCCAGATTGTTTATCCCTCCTATCTTTTTTTTTTAATACTGAATTTTATTTCACATGTATATTTTTGTCTCCCCACCATTTCCATTTGGCCACTGCTACTACTCTGTCCTATCATAACATTCCATACATACAGTACTTAGAACCAAGCAAAGGGTAGAGTTCCATCTTCACAAACTTAACAGTTGTTTTAGACAACACATTCTTGGCAAAGGAGCCTGGACAACAACATTTATCAGACACGGTAGGGAAAGTTCTCACTCTGCATTATAAAAAAAGGACGGCCAGATAGCAACTGTTACAGAAATGAAATAAGATGGAAAATTTTAACAAACTGTTCACACTATTTTTTTTTAATCAATTTATTGGGGCTCATACATTTCATCACAACACATAGATAAATTATGTAAAGCACATCTATACATTTGTTGCCCTCATTATTCCCAAAATTCGCTT